ACAAGTTAAAACATGGTTGTTTGAGCAAGCGTTTACAAATGCAGAGTAACTGATATAGGAAATAGAATGACATGACGATGGAATTGGACAATAGTTTTATAAAAATTTTTTTTGTCGTGTCAGGAATGACTCCTGGTGTGAGAGAATTGGCCGTCTGCAAGGACGTTGCCCAGGGGACGCCTGGATGATTTTTTGATGTTTTTATCATCCTTGTGGGAGGCTTCTCTCATGTCCCCGCATGAGGAGCTGGAGCTGATAGAGGGAGTTCATCTGCTTCTCCCCGGATTCAAGCCTGCGACCTGTGGGTCTTCAGTCCTGCCGGCACAGGGCTTTAACCCACTGTGCCACCCGGGGCTCCCGGTGTTGTTCATTCGTTCAGTCGTCTCCGACTCTTCGTGACCTCATGGACCAGCCCACGCCAGAGCTCCCTGTCGGCCGTTACCACCCCCAGCTCCTCAAGGTCAGTCCAGTCACTTCAAGGATGCCATCCATCCATCTTGCCCTTGGTCGGCCCCTCTTCCTTTTGCCTTCCACTTTCCCCAGCATAATTGTCTTCTCTAGGCTTTCCTGTCTCCTCATGATGTGGCCAAAGTACTTCAACTTTGTCTCTATTATCTTTCCCTCCAGTGAGCAGTTGGGCTTTATTTCCTGGCGGATGGACTGGTTGGATCTTCTCGCAGTCCAAGGCACTCTCAGAACTTTCCTCCAACACCACAGCTCAAAAGCATCGATCTTCCTTCGCTCAGCCTTCCCTAAGGTCCAGCTCTCACATCCGTAGGTGACTACAGGGAATACCATGGCTTTGACTAGGCGGATCTTTGTTGCCAGTCTGATGTCTCTACTCTTCACTATTTTATCGAGACTGGACATTGCTCTCCTCCCAAGAAGTAAGCGTCTCCTGATTTCCTGGCTACAGTCTGCATCTGCAGTAATCTTTGCCCCTAGAAATACAAAGTCTGTCACGGCCTCCAGGGTTTCTCCCTCTATTTTCCAGTTGTCAATCATTCTTGTTGCCATAATCTTGGTTTTTTTGACGTTTAGCTGCAACCCGGCTTTTGCGCTTTCTTCTTTCACCTTGATTAGAAGGCTCCTCAGCTCCGGGGCTCCCGGTACTTTTATAATAAGGAGATGCTAATAATGTTGTTTTTCTTGCTTTTGTTGTGTTTTATATTGTTTTAATGTTTTAACCTGTATTATGATATTATGTGTACTGATTTGTTGTAGACCACCTTGAGTCGCCAAGTGGCTGAGAAAGGCGGGATACAAATACAGCAAATAAATAAATAAATAAATAAATAATGTTTTGGTCATAAAATTCAGGCAAACGCAGTTCAATTGCCCCTGAAGCTGTTGCCCTGTTTCCTTGTTGCTGAAAAGTGGCTGCTGGTTCTCACCACTTGTTCATGATGTTGCCTTTTGCTACCAGGCGGCAGCTGTCAAGGAAAATGTGGGTCTTCATGGTGACAAAAGGGAGCCTGAGGTAGTCTGTGTCCTGCTGCAATGCAAATTTTGCAATTTATAGCCCTACTTTGTTGAGCTGCTGTACACAGAAGGCTCTGGTCATACAGCTGTAAATGCCAAGTCCCCAGCAGCAGGCTTCGGTTGGCTTTCAGGAGTGCTAGCATAGCACAAGGGTTTTTCAAATGTTGCCTCCCTGTGGGATTAATTGTCAAACGCTGCAAAAGTAGGCTAGATGTCAGAAGTAGCTTGTTTCAGTTTTCTGCACACTTCAGCTGGAAGTTGCCACAACATATGAGGCGGTATTTCAGAAAACTAGAAAAAAATCTGAATGCTAACATGGGCTGAAAGTGAGCAGTGGCTGTCCATTGAGGCTGTCATTTGATGACATAAAGGGACACAGAGCTTGTAAATTCACTTTTTTTTTAGAAACAGTAAGTGACAATGATCATTCCAAGGCCCCCTCAAAGGTCTGTTGTCACTAAATGGCTGACATTTTATACACCCTGTTCCTTAAAATACAAATCCTTAACTATACAACAAATGCAACAAAACCTTGTTAGTAAATTCTAAAGATGTCTAACAGGGTATTGGGAAGAGTGCTACAGCCTTCAATTAGGATCTTGGATGTGAGCATTTGAGACCAGCTCTGATATGCATGGGACTCTTCCAACACACATTGGGTCCTCCTTTTGTGTTCCAGCAATTCCAAACGAAGAGAACGAAGGAGAAACATGAAATGTGGCAACAGCCATGTGCTCCTACTTCTCCACTATTAAGTAAAGCCACAACTGCTTCTCAAGGGAAACCAATGATACATCACAGAAAAAGCAAATATTAAATTTAAAGGGAGATATTCTGTATTAAGATACAGTCATAGAGGAATTGTAGAGTTGGAAGAGTTGCAGGAATAAGAATAGGAATAGGAATAATAATAATAATAATAATAATAATAATAATAATAATATCTTCATTGGAAAAAGAATGAATGAATTACAACCTATGCTTATGTTTCTGGTAACCAACATCATTGAGTTTTTACCTAAATATTAAATGTGATAACTATAGGTGCATATACACTATAGAATTAATGCAGTTTGACACCACTTTAATTTTTGTGACTCAGTGCTACCCAGGATTCTATATTAGGTGCACAGGGATAACATTAATGTGACCCCATAATTTGTAGGAAACTGTGCTCAAAGTTAGGTTGTTTCTTGCAATATTGATGTGTTGTTCTGAGCGACAGCCTTCAATCTAGATTTCCATCTGGGAGTACTATCCCTTTTACAAGCCAACGGGCCAGCGATAAAGGGAGTTCAGTGCCATCAGTGGCGTCTGAGTCTGCACACAAGCAAACAGTCTATCATAGCCTTGTTCTCAGCAGTGGTAATCCAATTTCTGTTATTTTTCATTGTTAAGAAATATATATTTACGAAAAAGGTGACAGAAAGAGAGAAAGAAAGAGGGAGAGCTGCCATGTATCACTATGACAAAGATGTTTAATAATGGGTATTGCTCCCCCTTTTTTATTTTGGCAATTATGTCAGTTTTATAGCAACCTTAAAGAAACATGACAGGGAAGCTAAAATCTGATTACACCTAAATCCTGGCCCATTATGTGATTATTATGAGCCACAGCACAGTAGGAGTTACATTGTTATGATAGGAGGGATTTCCAATGTAATTAGATCAGATTGGCAGCACCACGGAAATCAGGGTGGAACATCACAATGGCTTTCCTGTAAATGCCAATAGCCTTGGCTTCCAGTCAGCACACACCTAATAGGTGTAAATTTCCAATTTCCACTGAAAAGACTTTGCCATGTTTCCCCTTTGTCCCCATTGAAGCAACAAGATCCCAAAGGCTCTTAACTGTCTTATGGAGAAAAGTAGAATCTAGGACTCATAAATTTAGAAGAGAACAAATGCCCCAATTTGAGCTAAGCTGCCAGTTTTGTCTACTTGCTACTGACTTTCTAGATTCAAGTTTTGCTTGTGCCAAGTGATATTGAAATAAAAACTGGACATTTCTGGTTCTGTGTGTAGCCTTTGTGGATGTAAGGGACAGAAAGAATATTTGTAGATGTATTGTCGAAGGCTTTCATGGACAGAATCACTGGGTTTTTGTAGGTTTTTTCGGGCTATATGTCCATGTTCTAGAGGCATTCTCTCCTGACATTTCGCCTGCATCTACGGCAAGCATCCTCAGAGGTAGTGAGGTCTGACTTTGTATATTGTCTGTCACAGAGAGGGCAACCATTGCTGGAAATAGAATTTTTGGAGGTGTTCCTGAGCTTTTCTCAGAATATTTCGTGAATGGCCGGAGAGGAGCTTGCAGTTTTATCTGTTTTTAAAGGATGTTATTTGATGATGAAAGGTTTATTTTATTTCTATATTTAGGCATTGGACCCAATGGTGGATTTGGATGTTCATCATTCTGTCATGACTGTGAGCCCCTTTTAAGATCGTGCATACATGTTTTAATTAATTGGCTTTCCCTGTCATGAAACAGGATGATGTATTCATCAGCCTCCCAAAAGCATTAAAACACCAGTGCACCAGAAGCAGAGACAAAAGAAATTACACAAAAGTCAGAAAGCTGTTGTGACATCTTGGGTAGCTTGTCGGGTTGTCATTGGGGAAACTGAGGTGAAAAACCTCAGTTTGGCACCAGCCACCTGCTCTCAACCTTTCTTGCATTGCAGAGCTGGATGAAAGCAGACAGGTTTTAAGGAAGGGTGAAATAAAAATGGGATACCAGCTTTAGAGAGTCTAACTAGGGAAAAAAGATAATAGAAGCTACACTTTATCAACATTTGGAGGGTTCCTTATTGACATAACTTTTGGTAACTTGCATTTGGATGGGGGATAAAAAGATTTAAATTATGAATCAGGCACAAAGCTTTCTGAGTTATAATCAAACCCACAATACAGTCTATTGATTAAATAAAGGGGGCAACCATCTTCTACTCCTTAGAAGTAAGATGGGGCAAAATGTTATCACTGCCATGAAGAATGGACAATGTCCATTGTTAGCACATGATGATATTAGATTGCTAGTCACCGACTGAAATTCCCAATTCTGGAAGTTTTCAAAGGATATCACATACAAATTTCTTTTTTTACTATCATAATCTGCTGTGAGTTGGTTCAACATGGGTAAATGTCTAATAGAGGGATTTGGTCAATGGTTGGGACAGGAGTGCTAATCATGAACACATATCCCTACACATGTTGTTAGCCTTCAGCTCCTAGTGTTCTTCACCAATGACGTCTGGAGTTTATGGGGATTACAGTCCAACAACATCTGGGGAACCCATAGTTTCCACCTCTAGTTTGGGGAAATTAAATGAATCTTAAATGAATCTTATAAAACCATGTGAGGACAGTGGAGTTTACAGCCACCCTGGGTTATGGCTCTTGATGTCATTGCTTTCTGATTGGTGAGTTTAGTTCTCTTTCATAGAATCACAGAGTTGGAAGAGACTTTGTGGGCCATCCAGTCCAACCTCTTGTCAAGACTTATGACTCTGACCTACCTCAAGAGCTGTTCTGAATTGCCCAGCTGCCATTGCGTACTTCTTCTGCCTATAGCAAGTGCTGGCATCCTTTAAAGCTACTTGAAGCCATTTGTCCATCTGTGGTGGAACAATGCTCATGTCAGAAGATCTCTGGGAATTCATACTTGAAGCCACTGGATATTTTGGCTCTTCATTAGTGGGCAGCTGGGACTGCAGAAACTCATAGGTGACATCCTCCTCATCCACGTAGACCAATTTTATTTCTACCTCCATGAGACTCTTTAAGGGGATATGGGGCAGAAGTACTGGAAGCGGCTGGAAATCATTCTCTGACAGACGTGGTTCTTTCCGTAGAATCAGCTTTTCATCACTTTCTGACTTTCTTTTAAGGCTCAGTCTATCTGAATCATGGCTTTGCTTTTCCTTGATGCTGTTCTTCTCGGTTTTTAGTTTCTCCATTATGATTTCTGTGGTTTCTCCCCCTGAGGGGCTTTTACCCTTTTGCAAAGCTTCCAAAATATCATTCTGCTGGTATGTTTTTCCTCTCACTTCCTCAACAAGGTACTCCTTTTGGCATATTTCATTCGTGATGTTCTCAAAATGTGGATTGCTTGCTGTGTCCATGAGTCACCAAACAAAGGCACCCAAAAGAAGCTAGATGCAGAATCCTGAGGAGGAGAAGGAGGAGAAAGATGGAAAAGTTTACAAATAGATGGTGCAAAGGAAATGCTTTATTCAATTTGCAGACAGCTGCTGACTTCAAATGATGCCACTCAGCTATACTTAGCAAAGAGAAAAATGATTTTTCTTTTTCTTTTTTGCCTTTAAAGAATTCAGAGTTATGACCCCTTTCTGTATATAGGAAAATTAGTGTTTGCAAAGCTTAGAAAGGAAAAAAGATGCCCACACTTCTCTATTTTTTAGTCACAATCTACTGACACCTGAGGATCACAGGGTGCATTTTCCTTACTTGAATTCATTTTATAAATAAAGGACTTTTCTGAGTCAAAGGACTTAAAATAGGCAGAAGTGGGAAATGATGAACTAGTTCCTCATCCTCTTCTGGGTTGTAGGGTATAATATACATTTAAAATTTGATCAGTGGGAAGTGGGGCTCACTTGGGTCCCAGAAATGTAATTGGGGAGGCACATAGCCCATTTTATTCACCACTTGGTATAGACTCAGGTAGAGCTTGAGAAACTACATGGGTTCTCAGACTCCACCAGCCATTATGGACAATGGCCAAGCCACTATTACCTCAATTCTGTTACTACTAGTAAGGGACAGGAGCAAAGGATTTCTTCAATTGGGAAAAGGAAACCTTGGTTCACAGTGTTTTTGCTGGAAGCAATAGATAGGAACCTCCCAGTGTGGCTGGGTTCAGATGGAAGGAAGAAGAGGTATTTCCTGTTTTCTGATCTTAAGAAAACACATGTGGAACTTCACTTGAGTTTAGATGGAATCTAAGCATGTCCTTAATTAGTCTGTTGAAATTAATAGGACTCTATAAACATTACTTCACACTGACTGGGTCATATCCATAAGCTTTACCTTTTAAAAAATATTTGGGGAAAGAAATTAGTATACAACTAAACTGAATAAATGCCACATTTATGGTTGGATCATAACGGACCAGAACATAAGTGGATTTCTGGACAAACACTTGTTCCTGTGTTGACTGTCTTTCCCAGTATTTGAAGCTAGGAAAGATGAAACACTGCAGAAATGATCAAGAAACTGGAAGGACCATCTTTACAAATGAACAAAATACACCTTATTGCAACAACAGTGGGCAAAACAAAATTGTGTTAATGACTAGCTTGTAGGTTTCAGGAGTGTAGTCATAAATTTTCACATATGTGTATGTTTAATACACTGTGAAAATTAGAACTGGAAGCATTACTTTTCGGGACTATTAAAAGAGATAATTTAAAAAGTGGGTCTGCATTAGTGTAAAAAGGCATAAAGGAACCCAACAGTACCTTTGAGATTAACTGGTTTATTCTAGCATGTGTTTTCATGGAAGTGAGCTGATATACATAAATACTCATATTAGAATAAACTAGTTAGTCTGAAAAGTACCAATGGGTTCAATTATCTGTTTTTGAGGGATAACATATATGTTAACCAAGTGATTTGAGAAATTGTCATAAAAATCCCATCCACCGGAAGCTCTTATTTACAACGAAGTCCATTGGGATCAACAGACAGGTGTAGAACAGTGAGCTAGCAAAAGGTAGCGTAATTGATGCTATGTGTCTCTAAAGAAAAATAGATGCAATATTTCCCCTAATAGCCTAAGGTGTCTAACCCAAAAATTTAGTGGAATTTATCTTTCCTGTATGAAAGAGAAACACTTACCTTAAACTCAAAGGTCCGACAGTCTCCATTTCCAACAGGAGAAGATGTTTCATATAGAGGGAGTGTTATGTGGTTTCTGGGCTGTATGTCTGTGTTCTAGCAGCATTTTCTCCTGACATTTTGCCTGCATCTGTGACTGGCATCTTCAAAGGATCTGAAGGTAGTAAAGCCAATTCTATTAACCAAGTGTGAAGGGTGCAATTAGCAAGCCTGATTTGCAAGTGTTGGAGTGGGATCCATCCATTAGCATGTTACTAACTGAAAAGATTGTCTAGTCAATAATGAGGGCATCTGCCTGGATGCCCTCACTTGGTTCCCTTGCAGTGTTTATTGCCCAGAGGTATCCTTTGTCTGGGTGGTGTTCAGTGGCTCTTAATTGTTTATTGTCTGGTGTTGCAGCCCAGATGTCTGCCTGATCCCTTTTTCACCCAAACAACATGCAAATTATTATTAATAATAATTTTATTAAGAAAGGGGTATCTAATGCAAAAATAGTTTCAAAATAGTGTTCAAAATAAGCAGACTAAGCTTTCACTAAAGTACCAGCAAAATTCAGTATGCAAAAGCTATTTCAAAGTTACATCCAGGATCTAGATTTCCAGGAGCTTAGCAAAAGCAATGATCAACTCTGAATATGAATTCCAAACATCACCGGAGGCAAAAGCAACAAATTGTAATCCAAGGTTTATTGCACTTAAACTAGAATTGTATCCAAAAGCTTGAAAACATGAACATGACCATAATCCAAAGGCTTGATACTTGAATTTGACTATAATCCCATAGGCTTGGAACAAGATTTATAATCCAAACAGTAGGCATGGAACTTAAACAGAAAAACAAGACAAAGCCCCAAGAACATAACTCCTAACTTGGAGCTCCCAAGACAGGCAAATTGTCATATAAAAATCCACTGTTGATCTCCCCAGCAAACATTGGTTCCAATTCCATAAGAATTGCTCTTACCCATAGCATCACTCTTTTTCACACCTGGGTTCCCTTTGTTTATCTTTCAACTTCAGAGAACAATGAATTTGTCTCCTCTTTGCACTATCCCTTCTGATCTGTAAGTGCTGGGTTATCGGTAACCCTCCTGTTTCCCCCATATTCCTTTCAGTGTCAATCCTTGGACAATTCTCATGAGAATCACTGCCTGTTTCCCTGACAACAGATCTACCCAAAACATTCCCATCATCTCAAAAAACATTTTTGCTTTCCACCATAGAAACACCAGGCTCTGAAAGAAAATCCCCATCCTCATCCTCAGAGGCTTCACAGGCCTCAACACCTGGGACTTTCTTGTGTCATTAGTTACTGTCTTGATTTTGGTGTTTCGGAATACTGGTAACCAGATTTGTTCATTTTCATGGTTTTTCTTTTTTGTTGAACTTGCCTATGTGCTTGTGGATTTCAATGGCTTCTCTGTGTAGTCTGACAAAGTGGTTGTCGTGTGGTCCAGAATTTCTGTATTTTCAAATAATATTCTGTTCTCAGCTTGGTTTACCATGTGCTCTGCTATTGTTGATTTTTTTTCTGGTTGATGTAGTCTGCAGTGCCTTTCATGTTCTTTGATTTGTGTATGGGTGCTGCTTTTTGGTGAAATGTCAGGAGAAAATGCTGCTAGAACATAGTTGTACAGTCTGGAAACCGCACAACATTTCAGTGACTCTGGCTGTGAAAGCCTTTGACAATGTGTCTTTCATATAGATGAAGTATCTTTACAAGTATCTATTGGTTTCTCCAGTTGTTGTTGCTTTTTGGCATCAAGTCAGCTCTGACCCTATTGTGGTGGTCCAATGAATGAAAGACCTCCATAGCTCTGCTAAGGGATTACTAACTCAGAGCTGTGATTTCCTTGATGGAATCAACCATTCAATAAGTCTTTAATGTGGTCGTCCTCTTTTACTACTGCCTTCCATTTTAGTGAAGATTATTGTATTTTCTAGGAAGTCATTTCATCTCATGATATGTTCGAAGTGCAATAAACTCTGTTTAGTTATTTTATTCCCTAGTGAGAGAGTGGGGTGGATTTTCTCTTTGGCACCTTTATTTGTCTTTTTGATATCAACAGAACTCTCTTCTAGTACCACATTTCAAATATTTTGATCTTATTCCAGTCATCTCTCTTCATTGTCTGACTTTCACAACCATACATAACAATTGGAAATACACAGAATGAATATTTTGATTATGGTATTTAATGAAATATATTTACACTTGAGGATGTGATCTGGTTCATTCATAACTTCCCTTCCGAGCATTAGTCTTCTGTTTTATCTCCATTTTAATTAATGACTCACCCAAGTTATAGATGATATTTTCATAGAATCATAGAATCAAAGAGTTGGAAGAGACCTCATGGGCCATCCAGTCCAACCCCCTGCCAAGAAGCAGGAATATTGCATTCAAATCACCCCTGACAAATGGCCATCCAGCCTCTGCTTAAAAGCTTCCAAAGAAGGAGCCTCCACCACACTCCGGGGCAGAGAGTTCCACTGCTGAACAGCTCTCACAGTCAGGAAGTTCTTCCTAATGTTCAGATGGAATCTCCTCTCTTGTAGTTTGAAGCCATTGTTCCACGTCCTAGTCTCCATATTTTTTCATATAGTTGGTAAATTTCTAGTGAAACTAGATTTTATTGAAATTTGATACATGGTGTTGTGACTGTTGGTTCCCATGTCAGGGAAGCTGTGAACTTCAGGTTTTCATACAGGTTTCATGGGAGCTGCTCAAGCTGGGTAATGTATTTGGGGAGAAATTTCATCATCTCGAATAGTTCCTTTGGCATTCAGGCTAAAAACCCAGAATGAATTCATCATCCAATAACATGGAAGCACCCTGAATCCATTGATTTAATGGCATTGACATACCTATGTTCAAGAAGAAGATGAATCTCTGCTCTTGTGCATGTAGTTTAGAATGCCAATTGGAACATCTCTAACAGCTGTTCTGTGGAATCAGTTTGCTTAGACAAACCAGTCTCTTGACAGCTTTAAGGAACAACTGTTCACAAATCATCATCTTTGTCAGATAAACATCTTTTCCTGATCACTTTTCTTAAGCAGCCTATTATTCGTTTTTTTTGGGAAGGTTTGCTGTAAAATTACATTCCCTCCAAGCTATGTGCCATTGAAAGCATAATTGAGTTATAAACAGTCAAGGAAGGGAATCTTCCATTTCATCTAAAAGGTTCATAATCAACATAACCCATCAAGAATGAAAAGGAGAGATGGCTACCAAACGTTATTTGCAGAGAACAATTTCT